AGGTAATAATAGCCATGCTGATATTCAATACTAAACCAGGATAAATGTGCCGTTTCTTATAGGTAAAGTGTCTTTGCTGAAAGTCTGGAACAGTGTGAGTTATGTCTTGCTGGAAATATTGTATTTATGAGATTGTGGCATGTGAATGCCAATTCGTAAAGTCATTATTACAAGTGGAAAACTTATTTTCTTTGAAGGGTTGTTAGTTAAACCACAAATAAATCCTTTTTTTATTTGTATTTTTTTTATTTATAAGGACAACATACATTAATCAAATTTCTGTTCGCCAGCTGGCTAATTTTCAACTGCAGTCCTTTGGCAAGATGTTTCAGAACCCTTTAAAATATCAAGAAGAATAAACAAAAAACAACAAAATATCAGAACACTAACACAATGACAACAATCAACATTTTCACACAATTAACCATTAACCATACATGAAGCACAACAGACACAATTATGGGTTAATAAAATAACACACCTAAATTGTGAAACAGCACTATTTAAAAAAAAAAAGCATACCAAACAATTAATAAAATACTAATAAAGTAATCCAAACATGCCCAAAACATAGGCTACATTTGGCTGCCTGACAGCGAGCAAAGGACATGGAACATGTTAACAGTGGGTTAAATAATATTTTTATATTTTTTAAAAGCCAGGCTTTAAGACTTTGTCTGAAGGAGTGATATGTGGTACACTTTCTTATTAAAGCTGCAAGCAGTGTTGAAAGGGCCCTCGCACCGGGCTCACCGCCACCAGGTGGCTTTAGGAAAACAGCGAACGGTGAGCAATATGCTTTTGATTAATATAGAAGAAATATGTCAGTCATTTATATGTGCCAAACTCCATGCTGCCAGCTGGTGGCGCTATGACTACTGTATATTGACATGTAGATGTGTTTAGGCCAGGAATTTTATCAAACAAAAAATTTGGGGCAGATAAGACATTTCATGTTTTAGTTAGTATAAAACATGACATTTCCTGTTGTCAACAGGTGACATTATGATAATAGGCCTAACTGAATATTGTCCTTTAGATGTGTTCAGGCCTGGACTCTTATCAAACGTGTGAAGTTTGGGGCAGATCGGACATTGTACACCTGAATTATAACCACTTCCTATTTCATGGCGAAACAATGAAGTTTGTCAGGCCGCCACGGACAAACCCTTCAACAAAAGCACATGATCTTCGCATTTTAACATCACAAAGGGCTTTAGATTAGATTGACCAAGTTTGGTGTTGATCTGTTTAAATCTCTAGGAGGGGTTCGTTTAAATGCAATGGCTGAAAATGGCAAAAACAGCACAAAACTTGCTGAGAAAATTCAAAATAACAGACTTCCTGTGGGGTTTCGGACTTCGTACCGGGGGACATTTTTGTAGGTATTGGTGTGTTGTGTCTACCGAATTTCGAACATGTATGTGAAACATAGCTCGAGGGGCACTTTGTTGAAATTTTATAGGTGGCACTATTGAGCCATTTTGCCACACCCACTTCTGAAACCCCTATCAGATGTAAATTTTCACCAGTTCTGACGCGTGTGCAAAATTTAATGAGTTTTTGAGCATGTTTAGGCCCTCAAACATGTGATTCATTTTGGAGAAGAAGAATAAGAAACTGAGCAATTCCAATAGGGTCCTCTTACCGAGGTGCTCGGGCCCTAATTAGGGCCTGAGCACATGCACTGACGGTGCGAGGAGTGAGGACCCTATATTGGAATTGCTCAGTTTCTTATTCTTCTCCTCCTAGAGATTTAAACAGATCTACACCAAATTTGGTCAGTGTAATCTAAAGCCCTTTGTGATGTTAAATTGTGAAGATTTAGAGTTTTCGTTGAAGAGTTCGTCCGTGGTGGCCTGACAGACTTCGATGTTTCGCCATGAAATAGGAAGTGGTTATAACTCAGCCATACAATGTCCGATCGGCCCCAAACTTCACACGTTTGATAAGAGTCCTGACCTGAAGACCTCTAAAGGCCAAAATACAGTTATAATCATAGCGCCACCTGCTGGCAACAGGAAATGGCTTGTTTTACACTAACTTAAACATACCATGTTCAATCTGCACCAAACTTCATATGTTTGATCAAAGTCCTGGCTTGAAGACATCTACATGCCAATATTTAGTTATAGTCATAGCACCACCAGCTGGCAGCAGGAAGTTTGGCACATATGAATGACTTTGACATATTCCACCAATTTACCACTTTAAATGCATATTGCTGACCGTTCTCTGTTTTCCTAAAGCCACTGGGTGGCGGTGAGCCAAGGTGCGAGGGCCTTTTCAACATTGCTTGCAGCTTTAATTTCAATTGGAAGTGTATTCCACAACTCAGAAGCTCTTACAGAAAAGCATGATTGGCTAAAGGAGGTGGACCTGAAAGGAATTTCACAGTTCCCTCTCTGAGCAGATCTTGTTGATCTATTGTTCAGATTTTTCTGCTGGTGAGTAGTGGAGGAACTTTTCCATTTAGGATCTTAAACATCAGACAGGCGTCAGATGACAAACTTGAGAGATATCTGTGTCTCCACTGAAAATTCTTTCCACAATGATGCTTGAAAAAGTTCATAAAGAGATTGTAAAATAAATCCATATTAACTGAGTGGTTTCAAGCCAAGTTTTCTGAAAAGGCATGATTGCTGTATATGATGGACTGACTTAATTTAGGCTTTTATTCACTCAACACTGGCATTTTTCAGGTTTCATAAAAATGTCTTGTTTGTTTTTCAAAGAAGAACTAAAGTCTTGTGGGTGACAGTTTTTAGGGGGAGGGGCTATCAATTAATAGCAGTAGAAAATTGGTGGTAATAGCTGTAATTGTGTGTATTGACATACAATTTAGTTTGTACACAGGCTGTGCTCTCTTGATGAGGAAGAATAATAAAACGGGCCAGAAAATACTAATTTAACTAATTTATGAGGAGACAGCCTTGTGTAATCTATTTATGGCAGCACATGAATTATAAAATATACAGATAATGAATCAATTACACATGTAATCATGTAATCTGTCGCATTAGTGCAAAAAAAAAACATTCCTGTCTTTGTTGGAAAGTGAATGAGACATTTGCAAAAAGCCAACTTCCCTTTTATTCTGCACCACTTACAGAATTCTGAAACACCGTGAACAGACACATTTTATACTAAATCATCTCTTTAGATGCTGTTTAGCCAATCAAAGGAGCAGAACTAGATTTAACATGACATTCATGCATTTAGCAGATGCTTGTATCCAAAGCAACTCGCATTGCATACAAAGTATACGTTTTATCAGTTCCTGCATTCTTAAGTCTAACCTATCAAATCCATGCTCAACTCAATTCAACTCTTAGCTTAAGTTTATTTCTACAGCATTTTCAAAAAGAACCATACAAAAGTAATCATATATGAAGCCAAAATTCAACAAAAATCCATACAATTTACAATACACTGCTAAAAGCTAAAGAAAATAAATGAGTTTTTAAAGCTCTCTGAAATGCCTCTATTTTGGGAGAGGTTTTTAAGAACAATGAAAGCTAGGAGCGGCCACCTAAAAAGCTCTATCACCTTTACATTAATGGCACGATCAAGAAACTGTCAGACTCAGCTGATCATTTGAGCGAAGTGATCTCAAAAATTGATGTAAACTAATTCAATCAGAAATATACTCTGGTCCTAGGCCATGGAGAGCTTTGAAATATAACAACACTTTTTACTGGATTCGGCAGTGCATTAGTATATAGCAACAGGAACTATCTTATAAAACATGAGACTTATAAAAACATCTTAAAGTGTCTAAATAGTACAACAAAGTAAATGCCTTTATTTCATTGCACAGTGAATAAGAAAACCACAATTCTACATTCTTAAAATAAAGGTTTCTAAACAAAATTTTACTGCAATGCCACAGAGGAATGATTTTTGGTTCACCAAAGAACCTTTTTTTTATTATTAGTGTGAAGAACATCTGAAGAACCTTTTGTGCATTAACTGGAAAGATTCAAAGGATGTTCAAAAGATTAAAGGTTCTTCATGGAAGCATAAATGCCAATAAATAACTTTTTATTGACATTTTTATTGGATTTGAATGTACAACTGACAGGATTAAGTTCACATTAGGCCTGGACCGATGTGGTGATGGTTTAGAAAACAAAGCTCCCAAAGTTGTTGGCTCTGTCTCACAACGTGCTGCAATTTCTCGTCTTGTTGGCAAACGGTCCATCAAGTGAAAAGTCACTTTTATCGAGGTGGTTCTCCGCAGGGAGGACGACGGGCGCGCGCACTGAACGCTGTCTGGTCTCGCTCTTTGATTACGGGGGCAAAAAAAACCGACGCCACGCGCGCTTTCTCCGGTGCAGACAGCGGCGGCTCGAGCGCCTCGGATGAACTCGGAGGAGGTTGATGCGCGAGACCTAGGCCAGCCACGTAGCGATGGTTTGTAAACCGGAGCAGCGGTGGGCTCGTGCAGTCTAGAAAATCAGAGCGATATGTGATAGTTTGTCCGCTTGTGCATGCGACTTCACGCTGTTCGCCAAAACTCGCAGTGTCCGCCGAGGAATAGTTTATCTGAAGCGAGTCGTTTTTTGTAGATCTGTTTCATCGGATCGCTACACAACTTGAGGTGGACGGTATGAGGGAGAGGGCGCTCGTGTCTCGGGTGAGTAGTCTTTGCTACAAGTTAATTTCTGCTTTTGCATTTATTTACAGCGATGACAGTTGTTCGCCGCATGCATAGAATCCGTCCCTCGAACATCTGTCAAGGTACGACGCTGTCAGTGCACGACACGACTTATTTTCACCGGTCGATCTGCAGGTGTTTGTTCGGAAAGAGCAGGAATCGTCAAAACTGTTATTGTTTTCTTGCCTAATGCTGTTTTGCATACAAATGCATCGAGAGTCTCCTTTATTGACATTTTTATTGGATTTTAATGTACAACTGACAGGATTAAGTTCACATTAGGCCTGGACCGATGTGGTGATGGTTTAGAAAACAAAGCTCCCAAAGTTGTTGGCGCTGTCTCACAACGTGCTGCAATTTCTCGTCTTGTTGGCAAACGGTCCATCAAGTGAAAAGTCACTTTTATCGAGGTGGTTCTCCGCAGGGAGGACGACGGGCGCGCGCACTGAACGCTGTCTGGTCTCGCTCTTTGATTACGGGGGCAAAAAAAACCGACGCCACGCGCGCTTTCTCCGGTGCAGACAGCGGCGGCTCGAGCGCCTCGGATGAACTCGGAGGAGGTTGATGCGCGAGACCTAGGCCAGCCACGTAGCGATGGTTTGTAAACCGGAGCAGCGGTGGGCTCGTGCAGTCTAGAAAATCAGAGCGATATGTGATAGTTTGTCCGCTTGTGCATGCGACTTCACGCTGTTCGCCAAAACTCGCAGTGTCCGCCGAGGAATAGTTTATCTGAAGCGAGTCGTTTTTTGTAGATCTGTTTCATCGGATCGCTACACAACTTGAGGTGGACGGTATGAGGGAGAGGGCGCTCGTGTCTCGGGTGAGTAGTCTTTGCTACAAGTTAATTTCTGCTTTTGCATTTATTTACAGCGATGACAGTTGTTCGCCGCATGCATAGAATCCGTCCCTCGAACATCTGTCAAGGTACGACGCTGTCAGTGCACGACACGACTTATTTTCACCGGTCGATCTGCAGGTGTTTGTTCGGAAAGAGCAGGAATCGTCAAAACTGTTATTGTTTTCTTGCCTAATGCTGTTTTGCATACAAATGCATCGAGAGTCTCCTGCAACTATCTGCTCGCAGACCGCGAGTGCTCGTTAATATGAAAGAGGAACATTTTTGACGGAGTATAAATCTGGGCGGTTTGGGGTGCAAGAAGTGAAAGTCGTCCACGACGAGGATGTTAGCTTGCTATGAGCCACAGGGTTAAATAACGTTAGTCGTATTGTCGCTGCACGCGCTTTGCAAAGCAGGTCGATTGAAATCACCCCGGTTGAGGTTTTTGCAATCGCGTTTAACAGTTTTGCAAAAGCGGGTCCTGCCGTAGCTGGAGTGCATTGTACACAGGATGCACTCGGGATGTTAGCTCTGCTAGCCGATCGGCCTGCACGCCTGCCGTCCTGACCAACCAATGTTTCCTTCTGTTTAACCCTTTCTTTGCGTCGCTTTCCCAAAAAGGTGACTCTTTGTCCGTGAGTTGCCGCACACTCTTTGCTGCTTTTCTAACTGTTCCGACAGTATAGTATGGCCCAACTGCGCTGTATGCCAGTATTTATCCTCGTTTTTGGGGTGGACGTGATGCAGTTTGGAGGTGTGTTGTGGATGCGCGCGCTAACGTTAGGCCCTTCTCAAACTGCGGCGTTAGCTCGAGCTGCTAGCGCTGATTTTAGGAGCAGGGGGCGAAGGAATTTTGCTATTTGTTTGACCTCTTTTTTTTAATTGTTATTAGTTTGGTCTCTTTCTTTGTTAAACGTAGTTTGGAACAGCTGTGATGCATGTGTGTGCCTGACGAGCCAAAAAGCTTTGATTAGCTCATTATTTTGTGAGGTTTTCTCCCGCTTCCCTTTTATCCAGTTCCCAAGCTGCTATGAAGTCTCACCAACTTATTAGGCAAAGAGATTTTCTCCAGAGCTTGTGTAATTCACAATGTCCTATGACACCCACAAAGCAAGGGGTTTCAGAAACATGAATCTGAAGAAGTGTTTCAGTTCAATATCACGTGTTTAACAAGTATTCGATTTTTCTACCTTGTTTTTACCTTAACTTAGTCTGCTAAACATTTTCATAATGCTGTCTTCATAACATATCATTGACACATTCAGGCTGCAATGTGTAAGAACCATGGGAATATAAATTTTATTCAGGGCCCATCTGCTACTAAACGTATTTTTATAAGATAAAGAATTTAAACTGCACGAATCCCCTCTTAAATTGAAAGATTTTGTATATAAAAGTCTTCATAAAGTGAGGATCAAAAAGACTTGATATATAGTCTTGCAGTTTTTATATTGACAGTATTTTATGCTTCAAAGTGCCTGTGTCTTGGGCATCTGTGATGATGCTCTCCTGCTGTGAAAAAATCTGAACTTGTTAAAGGTGAGGTGTGTTGTTTTGGTGAGTGTCCAATATGTTTTCTGAGAGTGACAAAAGGGCTGTGAAGAAAAGGTTGTGCAGAAAGCCTGGTTTGGCCGTATTTTATGCAAAGACTAACTTCTAGCACGCAGTCACTCATTTGAAATACTCCAAATTCATTAACATATTAGAATGGATTAAGAACAAATTCATGTGCGTATGCTGCTTTCGTGAGAAGTTCTCCTGTGCGTAAAAATACAAAATCTATGCAATTATTAGTGAATGGGACCCACTGTTACGTTTCAATGTTCTGACCAATGGTGTGAATTTGGGACGGGGCTTAGTTTATCCAACCAATGGCAGATGGGGGAAGTCATTACTTTTAAAATTCAATTTAATGTTGCAGAAATATGCACTTCACCTTTAAAGTAGTGATGTAATGGACGTAGCGACATATGTATTGTGGCATACCTTTGAGTTTAATGGATTAACGAAAAAAATGTAGGGTGGGAACTTGGTTTTGTACAACAGTTGTTGACTGGATTTTGAGATGTGGATGTTGCACTCAAAAATGTAAAACAGACTAACATGATCTTGCAGGGTTTAAGCAGACTGAATGATTGAAGAAGATTTTAAAAAGAAATAAAACACATGGATGAATCATTCGCAATAAGATCTATAACATGCATTTAGATTATAAATAGGGTTAATTTTCATTTCATTCAGACGTTCAGAAGATGTTGCTCGTTTCTGACATCCTTTCTGTGCTCTCCCTGGGCTGCTGTAGAGTGACTTGTATTAAAGATCTTCAGTTGGTGGGGTTAGTTTAAGAGCATCTGAAAAGAATAGAGTGGCTCAGCTTGCTTGTGGTTAATACAGTTGCATAACAGCACTCAAAGAACCCGGCGTCCCTTTCTGCGTGAAAGTCAGATTGTGGATTCACAGTACTGTCATGGTTGACCCCCCGTGATTAAATAATTAGTCAGATTATCAGTGATCTGCTGCTGTTGGAGTTCAGCACAAGGCAGAGATGTTGGAGGTGGGGAAAATTGAAGAGCAAAAAATAATAAAACCTGTGCATTTTTAGTTACTAGCAAATGGAAGTTTCGCTTTCAGTCATTAAAACCTGCATAAAACAGTCCTGAAGTCATTGGCTGTAGCTACTAAAAAACATTTCCTGTGCACTAAATCCACCTTAAGATCAGAGCATGAAAGGTTATTTTGTCTGCAATATCAATTAAAGAGATTAAAGTGGTTTTGGTGATTGAATGCGTAAAATTTGATCATGGTTGAATGGACGAGGTGAGATGGGGCTTGATCCTCAGTCCTTGGAGATATGATCAGAATATATAAGCTAAAAGGTGAGTAATTTCATTGGTCATAGAGATTTTGATTGTGTGATTGTCACCCACATCAAAGCAGCTTGCATTTTTTCATGTGCGAGGAAGCCCGGGATTAGTCACCGTTATCGTCCACCTACTTGCTCACGATGATGAGAGGAGCGGCCTGAGGCGTTGCGAAACTTCATTTGCACTTGTCGGTCTTGAAACAAGAAAAATGAAAGCATTGATATTGTCTTCACACTGAATTTCACTCTGCTTTTCTTCTTCTGTATTGCATCAGAGCATGCAAACTCTAGACCTGTAAGTGGCTGCAGACTTCGACAGATGTGTAGATGCAAACACATGCATCTTGCGTAAATAAGTAGAGCTTTTTCCTTCATTTCCTCCTCAGATGTGTTGTAGACGCTGTGTTGCAGATTCTCACGCTCCTCCGGGTGCTGCATTTCTGGCGTCCTTCTGATAGATGCACTCAATTCAAGAGTCACTAGCTTTTCCTAGATATTCAGCGAAGAATGAACTTTTCAGGTGTGTTTAATATGAATGCAGAATACCGTTTGGTATTTTAAGTGACAATTTCAAACTTTATTTAAAACACACAACAGAATTTACACACAGTGTGCAAAGCCAGTCTTTGAAATACACGTACAGTAATATGTGTTTTGTATGCCGGCTACTTTCCTGTGACTCCAACGCACACACTATGAGATGTGTGACCCCTTATGCACACATCATGTGGTCACATACACTGCGCTCTCCAATTCTCAGAAAGTTTCAAAGCGCACAGGAAGAAAGGTGGAGGTGTGTGTATATGGCTGTATCTGTGTGGGTATGTGTTTGTTTGTGTGTGTGTGTGTGTGTGTGTATAATTGTATACGTGTGGGCGTTTGTTTATGTGTGTATGGTTTTATTTGTGTGGGTAGGTTTATGCATGCATGTGTGGCCGTTCCAGCAATGTAAACTGTCGCTGCAGGAGAGCTGCATGATTCGAGCAAATGACGTCACCCTCAGTAGTTACCATGCAAAGTTTAAAACGGAGTTGAATAGTTTTTAATTGAATTGTCTCTAACTGTTTTTCTAGGTTTTGCTCCACTGTGTTACTGCAAACAAAACACAAGCAGGAATCATATAGCCTACTGCTATGCTGAATTTAAAGCTGAAGACATTGATGCCTGAGCTATTAGTTTGCTGCATTACCCGAAATATTCCTATTTGTGTATTCCTACACAAAGAAATTTCTATGGTGATGTCTTCACTGGATGCATGCAAAAACAAGCATTCACCTGATTCATAAAAAAATAGACTTATGGACTTTTAAAGTTATGGTCATCAGTTATGATAGTTCTTTTAAAGGGGTCATATGATGCTGCTAAAAAGAACATTATTTTGTGTATTTGGTGTAATGAAATGTTTATGCGGTTTAAGGTTCAAAAAACACATTATTTTCCACATACTGTACATTATTGTTTCTCCTCTATGCCCCACCTTTCTGAAACGCATAGATTTTTACAAAGCTCATCGGTCTGAAAAAGCGAGGTGTGCTCTGATCTGATCCAGTGCGTTGTGATTGGCCGAATTCCTCAAGTGTGTGACGGAAATGTTACGTCCCTTACCATATTGTGATGCCTGCGGCAACCACATGTGACGACCCCTTTAAAGTTATGATGCAGTGGAAGTATAGTGAGAGATCTTTTTTCCATATTGTGACATACATCTGAGTGAAACAGCTTGTTGAAAATGAATTAAATACAGGATAGGAACTTGATTCTGTGCATCAGTTGATTGGATGGAGGCAGATCTGAATGTGAGCTTGCAGTCGATTGGAGAAGTCGGACATGCTTTACCAGAGAGAAATCTATAATTTCACTGGAAGTTCAAATTGACATTTTGATTAAAGGGCAAAAAATAAAGTTTAAAAAAAGGAAACATGCATGGATGAATTGTTCACTGTAAGATCAGCAGCATGCATTGAGGAAATAAATGGGGTGAATATACATTTCAAGCCAATGTCAGTTACTCATAAAAAAAAAACTTAACAGTTCATAAGTTATCGATTTGAATTAGGGCCAGTTGAATCCATTTATGATGTTTATCATCAGTGTGTTTTAATATTTTAATAAGTGAATATGAAGATATGGGCCCCAATGTGACTTTCTTTCTTCTGTGTAGGGCTGGGTGATATTCGGGTAGACATGATTAACCAGTAGAAATTTGTCAACCTGTAGAGATTTTGGACTGTCTTCTGTATCGCAGTTACTTGACGTTGATGTGCTACGTGGCCAGCTCTTAAAGTGACAGCAGTCTAATATTCCTGTTGTCTGTCATTTGTTAATTACACAACAAAAGAGAGAAAATCCCTCACTGCTCTTGACTAAATCACGTTTGTAATTTTAAATATATATTCAATTCACACAGTGAAGAATATGCCGTGTTTTTATACATTTGATTACTTTATACAATGTATGTAGCATTTCTTATTTATTTGTTCTACTGTAGTTTTT